AGCCCAGACAAGTCCTAAAGTGATCGCCAAACGTCAGATAGTCGCATAAACAAAGCATTACACAAATATTAACCTAGGGTAAGCCTCCTCATCGTCTTCTCGAACATGAGTCGCGTTCCAAATTGGTACCCACCTTTCTCCTATAAAAGTCCACTTAAACAAACTAGTATATAGTGCACATTCCTCCCTCTCTTTTAAGCACCGTCCCTGGTGCTGACCAGTGGAATTCCATTGGAAGGATGCTCTTTTCTTATAACGTTTAGACTTCGTATTCGTAATCTACTGGGGGAAACCTGTATATGGCCTAATCGTGTGATGATGTACTGTTTAAGGCCTAGTAGCGGTCTCCACACTCCAAATAAGAAACTTTTAGGCGGCAAGGCCTTGATTATTCAGTAAGGTTACTTGCTCCAGGAGAGGTAGAATTTCCGATTGGTTTCAGGTGGGGAAATTGGTCTATACAGTTGCACCAAATCGCCGTCTTTAAAGACTCTTGGTCGACACCGTCTATCATAGGACCTCTTTTATCTAGCATTTTTCAGCTGTCTGCACACGGCGTCAACACTTTTCTGAGGTTTTCCTCTGGTCGCAAGACGTACCAAGGCACGTTATCCCCTGACGTTGATAATGGTCTTCGTGATAGAGCGTCCGCATTGCCTTTTGAAGCCCTAATGTCGTAGTCGTAGGAATCGACGATGACTATGCCGCTCTCACCATGGAAGTTGCTATTGAATCACCCAACAGGGAGAAAATGGCTGATTTTATGCCGCCCATTGGTGATGAGGCGAATTGTTTGTCTGCATATGTCTGCCAAAACAGTGGAACATGCAAAAATGTGGCAATTCAAGGTGATGGAACAAGGGGAAGTGGTTTTTATGTTTGTCCGTTGGGTTATGCTAGATCCTTGCGCGAGAAAAGTGAGTGTTACTTAGGTAAGTGGGAGCTGCTTGGTTTGAAATGCGACTTTAGAAGCCGGAGTAAGTGCATACAACGAATGTCCCGCATTTTTAACTATAGATCATGTGAAAATGAAATATAGTTTTCGTAAACGACATTGAAGTGTTGAATAAGGGCACGAGGCGGAGGAAAGAGATGCGGTGGAATGTCACGAAGACGATTGAAAGAGTGAGCATTCCTGCTTCCACAGAAGAATGGTGCAGAGACGAACATCATTCACCAACTTCATCAATTCTAATGAGTCTGATCCGGAAAGGCAGGGCAGAATTGTGGATTCAAACACCTTACTCTCCACCTCTTTCTCCTCCTCCACTTCCACTTCATTTTCCTTTTCTCTCATCACATTCTTCTTCACGTGTGACTAACCGTGTAGCGATCCCCAGCCTCCACCACGAATAGATGGTGAGCCTTAGAAGGGGAGTTGTTGGGATGAGAACTTCGCAGTAAGTGGTAGGGTTGTGAGGAGGTGGATCGCCTCCATTCATGCCATCTACACAATGGTAGGAGGTCATGCCTCGACACAAGTGCGTACAGCAGTAAACAGGGTGAGAGATGGGGATTTGCACCGTGGTGCGTTGTGCGAGCGGAAGTGGGACATGCAAGACACTGCTGTTTCCCAGAGGGGTCTTGGTCTGGCATACGCGTATGTGAAGATCAGTGGAACGGAGGGTGCGAAGCAAACGGAGAAGAGAGTTGGCGGTTTGGCAGTCTATAAGCCGAGACAGCAGCATGAACACACTGCGTGCCTCATACTATGCACGCATGCATGAATGCACACACCGCACATAAGGACGAAGGAGCTCAGGAAAATGTGTCCTTCCTCCTCGACGTGTGGTGGCTATCGCGACCATGAGAGATGATTGCCGTGCGACACTTGTGTGGTGGGTGAAGCGAAGTGTATGGAATGTGAGAAGCGATGGATAAAGGGAACGAGTTTTTGTAGTGTAGCTTACGTACAACGGACTTGTTCATGCCATCTTAGATGAGACTTCAAGCACGCAGGAGTAATTTTGAAATCCATTTTTTCTTTGTTACTTTCATTTGAAGAGTAAGTATACAGTAACATTTTGTTAACGTTTCCATTGCACAAGTTCTTTTTTCTGCGGTTTACGGGATTAAACCAATATTACTTTAATCATCTAGTTTGTTTTAGCATTTTGGAAAGGTGAACAATTAAACTGTTCTTACTGTTGGTCTTGGATGGCGGTTCACCAGGCGGTTGATGAGATATCGGCTGCAACAGGGGATGCTCTTCATAAGATTGAAAAAAAGCCGATTTTGCAACAAATTTTGATTGGCGCCACTTCTGGAATGTAGGAGTTATGAATATTTAAATCTTGCACATGTTTAGGGTCACTGGATACGTTTTGACTAAGATAGGTAAGACAGTTGCATTCTGTGTGGGCGTTTCAGCAATTGGCCTGCAGGTAAACACTTTGTCTCGAGAGTCTCAGAATTGTCTCATCGTTTTTCTGTTCACATACGTAATTTTGTCTTCTGTTATCGTTACAGTTTTTCGTCAATCGTAATCGAAGTGCTGATGAATGGAAAAAGATTGAAGATGACGCGCATGAAATACTCGAAAAAGTCGTTCCAACTGCTAAGCAGGTTCGCCTTCTTGCATGATTTACATCTCCTCGAGGGAGAATTGAGTACGATCAGGGCATTTTTTTAATATAGGTGGTTTGTGGTTTGCTTTTATTCTATTGTGTTCATTGAGCTACTTTTGCGCGATTGTAGTAAACGCTATGTCATTTTTTACGATTTTAGAACAAAGCTTATTCGAAAAAGGTATGTGTAATTTGATATTGCCAAAAGTACCTGCTCTTGTTTTTCAAAAGGTGTATAATCAAAGTTTATTTTGCTTTCTCGTCTTTGGCATTTCACTCCATTGTATATAGCTGTAACTAAACCTGTCGTGTTCGCTACGCAAAGTCTACCTCCTTTAACAAACTGCCGCCACACCATTATTTCTAATATTTAACGGATAAAAATTCACTTGTAATCTACTACTGCTTTTGAATATCTTAAAGTAAGTCAATTCTGTGCAGACTGTTGATATGAATTTTTTGGGTGCAATAAGTGTCTGCGGACTTACTCTGTTTAGGATTCTAATTACTCGCCGTAGCCTGCATGTGCTTGTTGTCTGAAACCTTTTTCCTTTAAGGTTAGCCGTGTGGGTTTGTGGGTTCTATATTCCTCAAGTCGATTGTGTTGCATTATAGGTATTTGCTATGTTCAAGGAGAATCAAGTGTTCTTTGGGTCCTTCGGTGGTGGTTTCCTCATCGGCATGTCTTTCTCGTAGTTTGTTGCTGTTCTGATCGTGGTCATTCTTTCTTAATTCGATCTTCAGCATTATTGAGCCCAGTAGTATAGCGTACTTTTATACTTTTTTGTTGATCGAGCGTTTTTTTTTGAAGGGGGGGTGGGTTGCCTCACAAGTCGGAGTTGGTGCCCACGGGCGTTGGCGCTTTAGAGCCCTGCTTTCGCTCGCAGCACGGATTCGGAATGGGGGTCTTGGTGTTCTGTCTCCTGATCATCCCCGAATTGGGCGTACGTAGGTTGTGCTTGCTTCCGAGGACTCGAGGCTCTCATTGTGCGCTCTAGTATGTATGCGAAATAGTCGGGCTATGGAGGAATAAGGAGCAGTAGGTGTGGTGCGTCGATCTGCGTTCACGGGTGGAAGGCCTTGTTTTGGATGTGGTTGCGGGATTGAGGGTGTGCCGGTTTCAGGGTGGGCGTTTCCCAGCGGGTAGCTAGGCTCTGTTCGGCGCTTCGTCTATCGCCATCTGATAGGTTTGCTAATGCGTGTCTATGTGATTCCTTACACAGTGGGGTATGGATTGCTTCGTGATATCGGTTCCTATTAAGTGCCTGTTTTTAAGGCTTGTCTTAATATACGCATCTTAATGTAAAAGTGAAGATTTTTTAGGCTTGAAATTATTAATAAAAATTTTAATGACTGATTATACTTACAGATATAGCAGAAATTTGTAGCTTTTTCGTATTTAAAACTATGTTTGATCATATAAATAGGTCAGGATAGAGCGCAATTTTCGTAATTCTCTCCATCTAGTGGTTAATTGATCGCTCCCCATAAACGCAAGATTTTCTTGCCTTTCTTTGATAATCACAATGCTTCATGAACTGCATGATGCATTGTCAAAGAGCAAAAGGTACTCATGACTCTAACAGTTACTATTGTAGGCGCGATCAAAGGTACAAATGCAAAGCTCCCTGCTGTTCTGGATTCAGTTATTCACTTGGTGCACCGTGTACCCTCTGTGGGAGGTTGATTTCCGTTAGCGGATCATCGGAATCATCACAAGTCGTTTCAGAAAGGCATCACGTGGAACAAGTTGGTACTAAGAGGCGTCTTATAGAGATATCTGTGAGTATTTCGGATAGCCCGTGCACTTTTCCATTGGCTGTTGTGAGCCTTGGAAAAACGAGCGTCTTCGACGCAAAGGAAAATTTGTGCACTATAACAAGCAAATCAATATCCTTCGGGGCCAATGTCCATGGTAGTCTTCCATATAATGAGCTATTTTTAGGTGTTTTCGTCCCTCTCGCCGTTAAAGCTGACGAGGTCGAGGAGATACTCTTTTGTGAACAGCTTAAAGTTATATTTTTGATCCTGAATATCACGAGCATGAATCGTATTTCCGAATCTCTAGGCGTTACTCATCATTGTAAAGATGGTAGGTTAAAAAGCTTCCAGACTAATTATTCTTTTTCTTTGTTTGCAGATAAGAAGAGGCGTGTTGTCATCGTCCTCGAAGAAAAGTCACTTCGAAATCCTTTCGATTGTTCCGTCATCCCTCGGTGTTTGACATCGCCTCAGCTGGAAGCTTTTTGTACTAATGTTCGGCTGATGGGTGGTGTCTCCATGACCGATGTGAAACCCTCCACTGCTCAAAGCATTTTAGTGGCGTTCGGACTGCGTCTCACGCGCAGCCATCCTAACGAAACTACCCGTGAGGTTTCCACAGTGAATCTTTCTGGAAACGCCTTATCCGACTGTCCGGTTGTTCGACGTTCGTCGAATATGGTAACTTCTGCATCTGTGGATGGCTCTCCGCCGACATGTGATGAAGTTTGATATTTTCTTGTCATATCATCTCATGTTTCAACTCTAGCCTCTTGCACTGCATCCTAGTGGAGCTGGAGATTCGGACAATCTTGTGGTTTTGAGTGACGATGAATCTGATTGTGAGAATGATGATAATAATGGTGCTTCGTCCAACGTTACACATGAACCCACCTCTGCAGATGAAGTTACTTCGATTAACGGCAAAGGCAGGTGGGTAGCTCAATTGCCATTTGTATATACATCCCCTTGAACGCTTTCTTTTAGCTTTGTCTATCATCCACCTGGATCAAAGGATGGTATTCTCTTAACTGAAGCCGATGTTGATTGTCTCTCTCCTGGCGTCTTTCTCAACGATACAATCATCAACTTCTACTTAAAGTATCTATACTTTGAACAATTTTCGCCGCTGCAACGTCACGCCACCCATCTCTTTAATTCATTTTTCTATTCACGTCTCTGCTCTGCTCACTGTGATATCTCTCTCAATCCTGAGTCCGCTGATGAAGAGTAAGCTACGATTAATTTCCATTTCTTTGCCTCCGGTTTACTTTATCATCACATAAATGGATGTGGATTCCTTCTAGTCTTCGGATGTCTCGACATGCCGCAGTAGCCAACTGGACACGACGGGTGGATATCTTCACGAAGGACTACATCATAATCCCAATAAACGAAAAGTAGGTTCATTGTCTTATTGCTGGCTATCACTCTCTTCTTTTTAGTCTTCACTGGTTTTTGGGTCTCGTTTGTTATCCTTGGATGGTCGGAATGGTCAGCTACACAAAACTCTATGCGGACTACAGTTTTGATCAGTGCCGTCTTATACCCGACTTTGCAGACACGAACAACGTCGAGGCTTCTTTCAGTGATATTGGCATTGAGGAGGTTAAGGCTTTGCCAACGGATGAGCGAGTATGTTGATGCGGGTTCTTCGTTTATTCCCTTAACTATGAACACTTATTTGCACAAAATCAGCGTACCTCTAGTGCTTTCACCATATGTCTAGTAAAGTTGATGTTCGTTTCATTTATTTTCTATTTTGAGGAATATCAGCCGCTATTTTTTGAACATTCTTCATATGAGTCGTCCTAATTAGGCTTTCTTGTTAAGAGAACAGGATGTACGGTTTCTACATTATCCCATTCGAAATTGTGCTCTAACCACACTCGCATTTAGGGTGAGGCCTTTGACAGATGGCGACGTAGGCGTCTGGCCTGGCTGCGTGGACGGGGTATCAATGCTATGTAAGATTTTGTACTTTTAATCTCCGCTCCGAAATGTCTCTCTTAAATAAACTGATATCCTTCTGTGGCTAGGCCCTGTATTCTTCTTTTCGACTCCATCTCCGCTCAGCAGCGTATCGGGAATCTCCATATTATTCGAAAGTGAGTTTTGTGTATAGGTACAGAGATCTAGGGATCTTGGTTCCTGATATTAGATAATTTGCAAAATAATGTTGCTTTCAGCTATTTGCAGGCAGAATGGGATGTCAGGAGGAAGGAGAGGGATGGTGATATGCTATTTAACAAGGACACTGTTCGTGGATTCAGTCCTCGTGTCCCAGGTCAGAGCAATCTGGTGGATTGTGGCATTTTTCTGTTGCACTATGTGGAGATGTTTTTCAAGGTAAGTAATATTTCTCTTAACTGACTTTTCCCCTTAGAGGCCTCTAAAAAGTTACACACGGGAGTTCTTCCAGAATGAAATGAGTCGGTGGTTCGAAAGCGAGATGCTAGGGAAAAAACGGTCTGTTATTAGCAAACTTATCGAGCAAATTTCGCGACGACCCTCAAAATCCGACCAAAATCCATACAAGCGTCCAATCCCCATGCAATGACGCTTCGATGACTTCGTCGCTCTTTTTGTACATACCGCTAATCCTGGTGTCTAAGTTGTCTGGGATGTCTCGAATCAAAATGAAAATGGGTTTTCGTCTCCTGTCTCTATTTTAGATGCCTTTGAAATAAATTTTGCATTTTGTCATCTGGGTATGCTTGAAGGCTTCTTCATTTTTGCTAATAATCGAAATTGGATTTTCACTTATGTTGGTCGTTTTGCGTGAGGTAAGTTAATGACTTTGTTCTGAGAATCTCGTACGGATTAGTGTCCGATCTCTCATTAGTACTCATGCCTTGTATGGGGTAAGTTTAATGGTGATCTCTAAGATTTACATGGTGTTGTTGGTGAGGTGGCCTCTCGTTGCCTGATTTTTGTAAACTGTCGTTTTTTGAGTTTTCCTGCAACTCAGGTATTTGAAGTCTGAAAAGTACTGTAGTAAATGCGCTTTGGCGGTGTTCTCATTGGTATCAGGAGATGTGGCGGCTCTCCTGAAGTGTTTCTTGGTACGGCTTCAGGGTGCAGTGGCCCATCATCACCATCAGGCTTTAACAAATGAAGGCAGGAGCCAGCTACGAATCGAATTGGGAGGCTAGTGGTCACCGGTGACGAAGGAGTCGAAACTTATTGTTTCGCTTCGATGGAATATCGGTTGTGATGGCGAGTTTTATACTATTATTCACGAAACATTCAAATGGCATTTTACTTCTTTGTTCCGGGTTACGGAGCGTTAAATGATCTTCCCTAACTGCCGAGACACTAACTTCAACGTTTATTATGCTCGTACTTGCCTGCGATCAGCGCAAATAGATTGTGCTTCGAATAAATCTATCGAGATTCATTTAAACTACGGTCTTTTTCTTTCTCTGGACTTGTGGCGCTAGACAGAATATGTTTATTAGGGGAGCACGAGGTACTAAGGCTACTTTCATGGCCTGGATTTCAACCTGCCTGACAAAAGGGCTACAATGGTCGACTGAATGTTGCATCCAAAACCGTGAGTTAAACAAACAACAACCTGGGAGTGTTGAGTTCAATGTTGCTGTCAAGGCTGACGAATTCGAAAGCATCACCAATGTTTTATTTGCATCTCCTACTATTAATGGGGTCTGCCAAGTTTAAGGGTTTATTGCTTTCTATGTTTGCGAAAAAATTCATTTTTAAGATTTACGTTTCTGGTACTGTGCATTTAGACTGTCTCTGCAATCTCGATTCCTTTGACATGCCTAATGTCATATTTAGGGAAGCTTTACTTAGCTACAATTGTGAGTAAAAACGATCTCGACCTCCAATCACTCTCGTTTCCACTGACGACCAGTAACTTATTGATGCAGAAACTGTGTTTACGCTGCAGATGGAAGGATTGTCGACAACTCATGACAGAAGCGCTGAAAATGATCTCTCCTCACCAACTACCTCAGTTCCGCGCTCCGTAGGCAAGCTGCTGTATGAAGGCACCATAAATGGAATAACTTCATACATTCTCCACTGCTTGAGCAATTCGATGGAGCAGCTGCAAACCCAAACCCAAAAGACACTCGCCTCCCTCCCTCCTGGAGACCACAATGAACTCAATTGTTCGGTCTGAGGTCGTGTTGTTAGGTCAGTGTGGCTTATGATGATAAGCGAATCCAGTTCATTTGTCATTCTCGTCTGAGAGAAGTACTATGTGGTGCCGGCAGCATTTCAAAATGATACCTCGTGGATGACTACTTGCGCCATTGTACATGCTGAGATTAGTTGGCTCTGGAGATTCTCCAAGAGAAGGGTCAGGAAACGATGCTGGAAAGAGGAGAGGGACTCGCAAAGTTCTGGTTGCCTGTTGCGTCAGGTGAGAAGGAGGAGGGTGGAGACCTTTATAAAAGGACATGATCCTACCAATTACTAGTGTGATGTGCCTATGGTTTGGCATTTAGCATAGCATATCTGCAGTAATTTACACTTTCTCTTGTAGACCTTTAGTGCTTGTTCAATGTTGTCATTGCTTAAGAAAGCAGTTAAAGCACAATTTATTGGTATACTGGGTTGTCTGGTTCCCCAGCCCTTCTACACTTTATGCACTTTTTTTCTGTACTAGCATTGGGAATGGCTGTCTTCAACAAAAGACCTAATTTGCCTCATTAATTGCTGAGACAAACATTGCCCAAATCTCTCAAATACTCGCTCTGTTTCCTATTACTCGGCCCCTAGCTTTAATGCAGCGGTGGATAGTGGTGTCCTCGGAAGTAGAGAGATCTGGCACCACTTTTTTTTCAAAAAGTTTAAACGGACACTTTTGTCAATTTCAGCAATATTGGACGAAAACCCTTTGGAAAAGTTTGTTACGCAACTGCCTACGCAAATTTTCAAAGAGAAGGACCACAAAACCCTATCCTAGGGAAGAATACTTGAAGGCCTCGCTCTATACTAAACAACCGTTTTTCCGTGTTGATCAGTGCATTGGTGCTTGTATACAACAAGGCTTAAAATTTTGCAAAGCTATCTGCATTATAAGTTAGTGTGTGATATGCTCGCGTCATGGGGGCTGATGGCATAGCAACGACCGTGTTGTGACGGTCAAATGAGAAGGGCAGCGAACTATAGTTATACTACTTGTTTTTTTGCTCTTGGTATCGGTTGCGGCAATGCGAGTGGCTGTGTTGTATCCCTAGCGGATGAACGGGCACCCCTCTTCGTTGTCTGAGTGAACGTATACGGCCAATGTGTAATGCCATCTTTGAGGTATCAGAAAGCCCCGAGTTGCTATACTGGTGACAGAGGGAAGTGAACTTGATTTTGAGTCGACCTTCATTCTGGTTCTTGCAATTTGTGGCATATATTATCGGTTTAAGCGAGTTGAATGTAATATGAGCAGAAGAACCTTCCATTACTTCACTACGGAAGAGCTGAGAATGGCAACCACTGTCGGTGTAAACCTTGTTCACATATTCTACAGAACTACCAACGGCATTCACCGCAAATCAGCTGGAAGTTTAGGTGGGGGTCTCTTCTCACTGTGACTACGTGCGGATGCAGTGTAGAATTGCGCAAAATCCTATCTGCACGGGATCTGGTTAAATCCCAAATATCTTGTCGTTAAACTTGTTTTTTTTACGTTTAATCGTGGAGACAAATGATGGTCAACAGAATTTCTCATCTTAAAATTCTGTTCGCAAGTAGAATGCAAATCTCTACCCGGTAGAGACTACTAAGAGAGACCGGTGGTGTTAGAGTCGAACACCTTGCTTCAGTGGTGTAGCAGATGGCATGGTTGGCTTCAAAGTGTGATCTATCAGTATTGCGCAGGTTGAATGGCCAACAATAGTAAGGGGAGGTGTGAGAGCTTAGCACGTGGATCAGAATAACATGGTTGACTGCTGATACCATTGGAGGTCGCCTAGGTGGGTGTATTGGACAGGATTCATTTTACATCAAAAAATCGATCCAATTAGAATGCAGTAAATACGTGCGAGGCCTTCGGCTATCAATGAAGATGGTTCGGTATGTGAAAATGGTGCCTAAAAGTTCAAATGTACTATGCAGCAAATGTATTTGTCATTTATTCTTCACTCGATGTACCAAGAGCACACATAATGCTCCCGTCATGCAATGAAGTATAAATCGAAAAACTATGTACATATTTTTAACATCCTGCTAGGAAACATAGTCTGAGAAATATCATAGGACCAAATTTATGCCTTTTAACCAACTTTCGCGATTGTAAGCATGCGACATAAAGTGCTTCATGGCATGCAGTAACCATACTTCAATGTTTATTAACTATATGTTCCACATTCCTTATTTGCAACCTTATTGATTGTAATGATTTAGGCGTCTCCTCGCAGCTAAAATCAATTTAAAAATTTGTTCATAACAGAAATAAATGGTTAAAAAAAGGTTGGCAATTTTAATAAATACTAGAGATTGTTAAAATTGTATGGACACACCTCTATTCGTCATCTTTGTTTAATTTCACTATTTGACTAATGCCTTGACCTGTGATTTCGCAGCTGATTTTTAACGGTTGTGAGTCAACAAGGAACAGATTATTTGTGATTTGGTGTCTATTTTCTATACGGGATTGTAAATACTTTATTATGCACGACATTCCCCTTGTTACTGTCCACCAATTGGCATCTTGGATATTCCGAAAAGAAAAAGTTAGACCTCGTATAAATTATTTTCTCTCAGATAGCAGTCTTAGACATTCGTTCTTTCCGAGAATATCATACGAGTCACATATGTTCTGCCTTAAATTTGGGTGGGAATCGAGCATTCAAGCGCAGGCTTCTGGCTAGTCCGGTATGTTTAAAGCGCTACATGCTAATCATGTTTTAGCACGCTCTGGGCCCATTTTTATCGCTGTTAGTCGGTGTAACTGTTGAAAACTTGCATTCATTTAAGAGAATTATTCTCTATGACCAATGCTCAGCGGAGCAGCCTGCTGATCACTCCGACAATTTCACTCGCTTTATTATTACTGGAACTGCGGATTTGTTCTCAAACGCTGTTCTTCTTCAGGGTACTTTCTTGCAATTATAACCGCATTCATATAATTGGTGGTTTTCAATGCTTTTGATTTATGCTTCCTTATTCTTGGTTCTTTACGGTTGCGACATTACCTATATCGTTTCATCGTAATCATGTGAAGGTCTGCTAAAATTTATGTAGAGGTTGTCTTTTACAGTTATCCTTTCAAATCACTTGCTATATTCCGCTCTTTAATTTTTTTGCTCATATATCTTATCAGGTGGGTTTCTTGGATTCCGTGCAGCGTACCCACAGCTCTGTTGGCAGCATCCAGACAAGCTTCCAGATGAAGAGTTTGTCGGTGTGAAAGGAGATTCCGGCCTGGAAAACCTACTACAGGAGTGCCTTTTTAAGCTTTATCATGACGCTCCTCCAACCTTGCTCTCTCCGGGAGAGCATTCAAGTGTCTCAACCCGTCAACCCTCTTCTTGTTCCTCTTGCGGATCCTCCTCCTCACAGCAAAGTAGTGATTCTGGTGTCGTCCTAGCTGCCGATCTTTCCGTAGACGCCGCACTCACCATAAGCAGGTATGGAGCCTCTGTACTTAGGCGTAGCATGTATGCGGTCTAATCCAGGGTCGGGTTCTGTTGCACCTGTTTGTAAATAGATGTGTCACTACTGCCGCATTGGTCAATGCCGTTACACACATACGAACACACCGGAGGACAATGATTCATGTCTTTGAATGCATGTGTGCATGTACTGGATTAGTGTAAATCATCATGTATGGATGTTTTTACTCGCTTAAATACATGCAAACAGTCCTGGTGTGAGGTTTATTTTACAGCTTTAAAGTGCACATTTATGCACTCAAGTTAATGCGCATTCGTTCTGATTTCATAGCAAAAGTTAGATTAGTAAAATGACCTGCCCATGCACTTGGCTACTTTTATTTCTGGCTTGCATTTTTTTTCCCCTTATTTCGCTTTGGATACCTGAAATGTACATTGATTGTTTGATACCTAGGTTTTTTTCACCTGGCTCTCCAACTTTTGCTTTTAAAAATGTAAACTGTTTCGTTTTAATCATTACATTTCGCATGGATTGCATACTTACCACTGCAATGTGAGCTTCCTATATTGCCTTCAGATTTTTCACAATTTTTGTTGCCTTGTAGAACTTTATTTTATCGAAGACGACATTTCCGTCCACGGTTTTAATTGAACCTTCATGAATAGTTGACAGTTTTTCTCTTGTTATTCTGCTTTACTCAGGAGATCTAGATGTACTTCCATCCTTTCAGGAGATCAGTTAGCATAAGCTTCAAACTTATACATTCGGGCTTGCGTTTTTCTTAAGTGTACTACGTGCTGTTGCGCTGAAGAAATGTCTATTTGTCGTATATTACTACGTTCAATCTCTAGGTTCTTGACTCGCGGCGTCAATTTTCTCGTAATTGTGTGGTGTTGAGTCAAACCCTCGTGCTTGTATAATGTGTGCGCGCGCACGATCTGGCGTCATACATTTCTTTGGTGTCTTCCACCCCACAGGAAAACTGTTTCCCGAGTCACTTCAGCCCCCATCAACCGTCCCACTACTGTGGTGACCTCCCTCTCTGTTGACGACGTCATCATGGCCGGTTCATGTCGTCGTCCCTTGCGCCTACGGCCGAATACGCTATCCCTCTGTTCTGCTTCCTATTCTCCCTCCAATTCTGCTGCCACATCCACCTGTAGCACACTCCTCGACACCTCCCACTGCCAGTTCGCATCGTCCTATCGACTCCTTTCTCCCCAAAATTCTTCCTCCGCCTCCACACCCTCCCCGACATCCACCCAGCCTCCCAGACCCGCCTCCACTGTAAGTGCAGCTCTCAGTGCTGAGGCCTTCGAATCGCCTCTGCCAACAGCGGTGCTGCCGCATCTGCTAATAGGCTGCCAAGCAGATGCCATGTCTGCGAAGGTGTGTGCCGAGTTCGGGGTGACGCATGTGATTAATGTCTCCGCTGACGGGGAGACCTCTCCTCATGTGCCTCCTTCACGATTTCTCCGCATCCCCATCCATGATAATGGGAAGGCTGATATGGTGCCTTACTTTGAGAGGGCTTTTGCATTTCTTGGTGAGTTGATTACGCATGCACAAAACACACGCACGCCCTCTTTTAGGCTGTAGTATGTAATGTCTATTTGGAGACCATTGCGTGTGTATGAGTGCAGGCATATTTTGTTTTCTGATAGCAACACCGAAACAGCAAGGTCTTCGTTCTTGAATGCGTCAATGTTGGTAGGGCGTATGGGGGTGGAGGTGGGGAGGGGGCAATGGCTAGGTGGAGTGGGGTGGAGTAGGTTAAATCGGAATCCGCGTGATCAACCGACTTTAGCATTGGCAATGAGTCTCCTACCCATGTGTACATTTCACGTAGTGGTAAAATTTCCACCTTTTCCACCTTTTCACCTTACTTTCAGTGCTATAAAATTTAATTCCACTCTCTACCTGCAACCTTTTACATTCCATTTAACTTGTCCATGCAATCGATGGCCAACTGCACTGACTGAAATATGCGTTTGATTTACAATTTAAAATGCTAATCCTGCATTGATTGCTGTGGATTTTGGTGCATGCTCTAACACAAAAGCGGCAAATACGTTGTCTCATGTGAGGCCTTTCGAAAGTCTATCCGATTGAGATGAAAATGGACAATTCCTTGACTTTATATGCGTGGACCTCGTAGGTGCATGCAGTAAATTGTCTAAATCTACTAAATTTTAGTGCTCTGAAAGACACATTTTATCAACTTTATCTACCCACCTTAGCTTAGCAATCTTTATTCTTGTTCGCATTAAATATTCTCGAGGCCGTTTCGTTGATATCTCCAGTTGTCACGATTTCAGGAAAGTACTTCACCACACCCTTTTGCGGCACCGTTTTTTTTCTTTTTTTAAGTCAAGAGTTATCCCGGTCTATTTGCCTCCCTTGTAAATGAAATTCCTTTACGTTTTGTCAAGATTTGCTATTTTTAATGTCTTCCTGCTGAATGCCGATGCATTGACTTACCGATTTTGTATTTGTTGGAGTAAGTTTTGCCGAATATAGTGGTTCCGGTGCCAAGTTGCACTCAGTGCTTTTGAAATGCCTGGATTGGACACTTGAAGGAATTGTTTACAAAAGTACAATTTAAAATGACCTCCGTCCAAGGCGTACTGTTGATGCGATTCTGTCTTATCAGTACTTGGTGCTGTCGTTACTGGCTGATGACTACGCCATTAGGTAACATGCTGTTTATAAGAGGTCTGTAAGCAGTGAGACCCATATTTAATCCACACCTTTAACCCTCAATTCCTCTACGCACACGTGCAGTCACGGTCGCGTACAGTCACGCACTGGAGGAGACACTAGTCGCTCATCCAACCTGGCGGTAGATGTTGCGCTTCCAGGTCTTGCGCGCTGACTAATTCGCCGTGTTCACATTCAGTCACTGCTCTGTGCAAGTGTGCATCGGCACACCTAAGCACAATAATCACGTAGACACATCCCTCTGCCTCTTCGTCATAGATTCAGCCAAGGATTGCAGTGGTCGTGTGCTCATCCACTGTTTCGCAGGCATTTCAAGGTCACCGACATTGGCCATCGCCTACCTCATGCACAACCAACGCATCACCTTCGATGAGGCCTACAAGTGAGTTGCAGCCTGCTGACTTCTTGAACAGCTGCTCGTCATCTATCTTCTCAAATTGAGTGTTTTTTTTTCAGTCGCGTGAGATCTATTCGACCAAAAATCTCTCCAAACTTCAATTTCATCGGTCAGCTGACGGATTTTGAGCGACGCCTCAATCTACCCTCACCTTCACAACCCCCTCCTCCTCAGCCACCTCCGGTACTTATTGTACCAACTCTTGTCTCTCCCCCAGCAACTCCATCCGCATCACCGAGAGGAAAAGACGTCAATTCCGGTGAGCTTCTACATGACCGCATTTGGCGTACAAGAATTCCCATGTTCCATGTTCAACGTCTTAATTGATCTAGATATTTTCTCTTCACCACTTAGACTATCATTTTGTTAGTATTTAAGTGGATTTTTGTACCTCCTCTCTCAAATAAAACAATGTATCTTACACGTAGGTTCGTTTTGTCGCAATGAAGGTGCTGTTAATGAAATGACCTATGGATTGAGTCTTCTTCACCAGTTTGAATAGGTTTCTGTATCCTTTTTACGACCCTGAGAAATTATTCTGAATTAAATTAAAGGCTATTGTTCCAACATTATTACAAATGAGAATATTCCTAGGCACACAAAATTAACCCATTCTCCTATCTTTGCAAATCGCTATTTTAATGAAGGGTAGTGTGCTCGTGGCAGCACCTGATTTTAAACTGGACTTGCATTCTAATGGTGTAACTTAATTTCATCAAAAAAGCAGTTCGAGGTTGGATCTGCTCGAGACCTTGGTGCGATTACTTCGATGCCTGCAAGTGACAATTCCACTTGCGACATATTCCTCTTATGTTTTGCAAAATTTTGATCTCTGAGGAGGGTTGTAGGGCATTTTTTGTAAAATAATATATCTTTGCATTTGACTGACTCTTACCTGCCTAGAATACGAAAAAATCGCCAAAACATGTCGAAATCATGGAGTGTGGAATTTCATTTCATCGCTTTTCCTTACGGCTCAGGTTTGAGAGGTGTCCAAATTTGGTTGAACTTTTCGATAATCTCAAAGGAAGGGCATTGATGCTAAGAAATGCTTGTAGGATCCTTATGAGGTATCATCTTTACGACATTTTATAGTCTGTTTCTCTACCCTTTTTTTATTGCAGAAGTAGCACCAAAAATCATTCACCATATGACACCAGCTGCTGCAATATCTACAAGGACGTCGTCATTGTCAGCAACGTCGGGACCATCGCGCCCAGTTACCCTATCGCTTTGTAGACCTCTAATAGGAGGGTTTTCGAAAAAGCGTGATCGCTCCCAATACCTCTCCGTCTATACCAGTTCTCCATCCGACCATTCTAATTCCCCTATTGAAACCCCCGCTACCATCACAGCTGATGTTTCGATGTGCATTACTTCCACTCCCACTTCGACAACGACAACGAATTCAACAGCCTTCATAGGTCGAAGAAAACGCAGTCGTTTTGGGCCTCTTCTCCCCTCCCCATCAACTGCCATCGCTAGTCTAGATCTCTCCTCTCCAACGGAGGATAGTCGTGTGTCGCGTCTGAAGTCCACCTCACCACCACCGCCACCTTCTCCGCGTCCTCGTCGTCTTCGACGAGGCAGTCCGCTTCGCGTTGAAGAGGCTCGACGCTTCTCTCTCTCCACATTTTCTGACCTCCAATTTGCTGGTGCTGCCCTGGCTGCGGCCGCTGCTGCTGCGGCTGCCGCTGAATCACCTTCTAGCGACATTGATAGCGAATGCGATATGGCCGCTTCTAATCCCTCCATTATCGGTAACGGTGGTGGTCTGCAAAGTCCTAGCGCCTCTACTCACCGGTGGATTATCAGTGAGAGCTGTCGGCACCAACAAGCCACTGCGGAATCCTCCTGTCATTCCAGTCTTTCCTCCTCAAGCAACAGTCAGCATACTCCCAGTTTTCCTATTTCTTAGTCTTATTTGTCTGTGTCTCCTGTCTAGTCAATGAGGTGGAATTCGTCGCATTTGCCTAACTTGTTCAAACGGTCTGTTTGTGTATTGTTCATAGGTGTCTGACTGTGCATGTGAATATGCGTAAATAATCTTATTTTAAATATAAACTCCACATTTACCTTGCTACTATGGGTTGTAACATTAAGTAGTCAATTTGAGAACAGGGAACCACTCTGCTCTGTTCTTTTTTCTGAAAGTCCATGCGATGCATTGGCTAAATTACAACCCTACAAAATGTCATTGTGAATCGTCTTGGCTTCTTGTTACACCCTTCAGTGTCGTAAGCTGTTGAAGGAATCTGATTGGTTACTTGTAGAAGGAAAATTAATCATCGCTCTTTTATTGGTTATTTGGGAT